CCCAGGCTGGCTTCGAACTCACAGTGATCCTCCTGCCTCAGCTTCCCAAGTGCTGGGATTACAGAAAAAATGTTTTCAATAGGGCTTCCTCCTTCCTCCTTCCCTAATCTTATTTTTGTCTCTTTACAATCCTTTAACTCAAGCTAATTTCTAAAAAGAAGCCTCTGTAAACTCAGTAAACACACCCTCCTCCCCTCAGTTTATATGAATTGATTTATAGAAAAATAACCTGTCTGGTCCCAAGAAGTGAAGGTCCACTTTCATTAAGGTCCCCTTTAGATAAGCAAGAGGAATAAAAACATAGTTCTAGATGGAAATGGTCACTCTGAAAACCCAATGTGTGTGACAGGAGGGGCCGCCCATCATCTCACTGTAGTCCCTGCTCCTTCCATAAAAGTCCTCCCACACCTAAAGCAGCAATTGGTATGAACCTTAAAGTCTGGGAACACCAGCGAGGCGTGGTGCTGCACATGTGTTATTCTAGCACTCTGGGAGGGTGAGGAAGGAGGATCAAAAATTTGAGCCCAACCTGGGCAACTAAATGCAATTGTGTAAGATCTTTTAAAAAGTCCCCCCCAAAACAAGATCAAAGTAGTCATGATGGGAAAATCATTTTTTATTGAACTTCCTAACACTTATATTGTCTTTTTCTTTTTTTGTGTGTGTGAGACAGGGTCTCACTATCAGTTCAGGCTGGCCTTGAGCTCACTTGGTAGCCCAGGCTGGTCTCGAACTTGCAATGATCCTCCTGCCTCAGCCTCCCGAGTGCTGAGATTACAGGCGTGCACCACCATGCCTGGCTTTCCTAACATTTTTAAACAACAGGTTACTCTTTTTTAAAAAATTTGAATACTTATGGAAATGGTCATGTCAAGGAAAAAACTCAAAATGGATCAGCATTGGTTGGAGGTACTTAAAATGGACTAGGAATGTTACTGGGGTTTGGGGGAGCTGGAGTCTGGAGCTGGAGTCTGGAGCTGGAGTCTTCCTCTAGAAGTGGTTTCTAGATGCTTTCTGTCCTGAACAGAGAACTGATCAAGACAAACACAAAAAGTAGTAAGATTTTACAGTGATTAAAGGGAGGAAAAGAAATAGGCTCTGCAGAGTGAGCTTGGGCCAAGTGAAAACAGGAAAAGAAGTACATTCTACAACAGAGGGAGAGAATTACTGCGAAAGACCACAGCAGCAGAGAGCTCAATGGTGACTGTCCTTTTTGTATCACCCACTCCTCAGGCTGACATCAGATATATGCATATCCAAAACTGCTCCAGTTCTCTTCAGAAGTCCACGTGTAGGGCTCTGGGAACTGTTCTGCACATGTGTCCTGGGATTTTGCAATTAACAAGTCACGCCTACATCCCCTACCAGCCTACCATACCCTAATCTGCCTCAGGAAGGCTATTGTTAATCAGACCTCAAATACTGTGCAGCTGAACTTTTGAATTGGCCTGCAGCTATGCCCACCCACCCTGGTATCAAGTTGACCCTTGAAACTATGTTAGTCTTTGCTGACCTTCTGTAAAAGGTCCCCCAAACTACCTAGAGACTGAGACCACTACACCGAGTCCCTTTTTACAAAACAGCCTAACTTTTACCAGGATCAACCATAATTCCTAATGATATAACATCTCATCTACTTGCAGTTGAAAGCTGTACATACAATCACCATCTTGTAAACCTCTGAACATGCTTTTAAAATGGCTTGAATGTGTGTTTTCCCAGATTGCAATACTAATTAGCTCCAAGTAAATATCATTCTTTGCTTGTCATTCTTTGGGTTGACTTTATTCTAGGTTGACAGTGGTATCACAATCTTTCCCGTGCATAAACCTTCTAAAGGTGCAAAGTAAATCTAGAGTTTTCCTGATCCTCCCTAAAAGGTCACGTCATGCACAGAATATATTTTCACACACGTAGTGATTTTCCACAGAACCCGTTTCGCATTTGAGTACAGCTTCCAGGTAAATAATCTCTCTTATGTAAGGGAATGCTCTGTATTTGCCAGTGACTTTCACTGAGCTCTCAGGGAGAAACCCTCACGAACTACTTCAGGGTGTGGTAGGTCTTAGCTTATCAAAACTCACATACTGGAACATCCAACCTTGTGACGCTGCTGCTCAACATCTTGTAGTCATTGTAGTTTAAGTATATTGTGTGTGGTTTTAAACACTTTAAAAATTCAGTAGTATTAATTGGCTGCCTCTTCTCTAGCAGTGCTGCGCAAGGCGCTGCCAATATAACATTGACTGATTTAATTATAAACATTTTAATCCTGTCAACTATTCCCATTTTACAGATAAGGAAACAGAGGTTGAGAGGTCAAAATACTCAGGTAATGAATGACACAGCCCTCCCTTACTAACCTTAGGGGCTTACTGACCCCCAAGTACTCTTGCTGTTTCCTCAAAATCCACTAAGATCAACCGACATGCGTTTATATCAGTGACAAGGGAAATGAAAACGGTCTGACCCTGTGCCGCTGTGACAGTTCACGTCCTCACATTTATTCCTCAAAATCACCACAAACAAGAACAAAGCAAAACTCTGAGGCGCTGACCTGACAAAAAGCGCGGCTCATAACTGGAGGTGACAGCGTTTAATTTTCGGTGTGACTGTAACCTCTGACCAGCCACACCCTCCCCAGAACCCCAGAACAGCACAGCACTCCGGAAGTCCAACCCCAAACGAAACACCGTTTCCGGGAAAAAAATTGACGGCCGGAAAGCCGGAATGAGACCAGGGCTTCCCGCTCTCGGCGCTCTAGCATTCCTACACTCTATGGCCGCCTCCGATTGACAGGCGCCGGGCGGCAAGCTTCCTCTCAATTGGATGCACAGCCTCGCGTAGGCGGGCCACTCGCTTCTCGGCGCGCCGATTGGCTGGAGCCGCACGCGGAGCGCAGGGCTGGTGCCTGGGGCACGCGGACTGAGGGGACCGGCTGCTGTCTCAGCTCGAGTGCGGACGAGCGCATGTGGGCTCTGCGTTCGCTGCTGCGGCCCGTGGCGGGGCGCACCATGTCTCAGGGGCCCGCCCGCCGCCAGCGGCCGCCCAAGGACCCCCTGCGGCACCTGCGCGCGCGGGAGAAGCGCGGCGCGACCTGGGGGCCGGGGAGCCCGAACACGGTGTACCTGCAGGTGGTGGCGGCCGGCGGCCGGGACGCGGGCGCCGCGCTCTACGTCTTCTCCGAGTACAACCGGTCAGTGTACCCCTCGGTCCGCCCGGCCCCCGGGGCGCTCGGGCCCTCCCGTGGCCTCGGCTTCTGGCTCATCCCCGCTCGGGCGGTCGCTGCTGCAGGGCTCTGCGGAGTCGGGTGGGAGCCCCGCACCGCGCGGACCCCCTCGTCCGCACGCTGTGCTGTGAGGAGCTTGCCACGGCAGCCCAAGCCGCCTCTCTTTCCCACGCCTCGGGCCCCGGGCTGACTTGGTCCCCGTGAGGGGCACCCGCCGGCCGTCCCCGCAAAGCCCGGGCCTCCGACGGGGCCTGGGAGGCGCTTTGGGGCAGCCCCGTCCTGCAGCGATCGCGTACGTGCCCCGCTCCCACCCGCCGCCCTCAACGTTGATTTTTAGTTGTTTGCTGCAGAGTCTAAGGGAAGGCATCTTCTCCGCGTCAGAGATTTTAGCAGATACATTCTGCTGAGCCTTGTGTTCCTCTGGCAGGTATCTTTTCAACTGTGGAGAAGGCGTCCAGCGACTCATGCAAGAACACAAGTGAGTCCGCAGTTTGCATTCGGGGTGGAGATAATTGGGGCTTGTAAGCGTCTGTGAGAGGCGGGTGTGTGTTTGTAGCAGAAGTGGTCAGTGGCCCGTCCATTTTACCCTGCTGAAATGTTTTCTTTTCCTTAGACTGAAGGTTGCTCGCTTGGACAACATATTCCTGACACGAATGCACTGGTGTAATGTTGGGGGACTGTGTGGTGAGTATACTCTTCGGCGGGTCAGAGGCTGGTGGAAGCCTCTGGGATTTTAATGTGCCCTGCCCCTATTTTGCCCCTCTCCTGAGTCCAGGGGAGCCGGAATGCTTTTTGTGCTAGTGCAGTCAGCTGTAGTATGGAACATGGAAAGCGATGGCTCAGAAGAGCACATTTTAACATGGATATTGTGTCCAAGTGTTACCTTGCGCTTGGTCTCTTGGATTTCTGGAGAGTGTAATGGTGGTGACGAGAAAATACATACGTATCATGAACGCCATCGGTCATATATAGACATGTACTGTCCAGATTACTCACGGTCATCACTGGGAAGGTTACGATTATATTGCAGTCAGACCCTGTAACCTAATGATGGGGTAGGAAGGAATGGAGTACTGAACTAATCACGATTTGGAGAGCCGAGTGTGGGGTGATGGTGGGAAGTGCCTAGGAAACAAAGTGTAAACCAGTTCCTTCACTCAGCCAGCTCTGAATGGCAGCTCCTTGCATTGTGCACACCAGGTGCCTCATAGCCTCACACCACAGTCAACGCTGCCCTTTCCAGAGGCCTGTGGGGAGGACGCTGTACGCCCTACATCTCTAGTTAGTGTCACTTCTTCTGCTCTGCATTCATTGTCTGATGGCTGTTTAGACGCTGAGTGGAGACACAGATGAGTGAGTACTTAAGGAAGCAGTGCTTCTGCTCTTAGCAGGTTGGTGAGAGATCTGATTTTATTCATTTTTAGGAATGATTCTTACTTTAAAAGAAACTGGGCTTCCAAAGTGTGTACTTTCTGGACCTCCACAATTGGTGAGTCTTTCCTGACTACGTGTCAAAAGTAACTCCGCCTTTCTCAATCTAAATAATAAGAATTTTCATTTTTGCAGGTCAGTCAATTTTACTGGTAGTAAATACTTCACTTTCAAGTTGAATAGACCCGAGTTGAGAATCTAATTAACTCTATGACCTTGAGTGAGTTATTTTGCCATTCTGAGCTTTGGTTTCTTCACCTATGAAATTGGCTGTACTGTCACGTTTTGTAAAGTTGTTAAACAGTAAATGAAATAACATATAAAGCACTAAATCAGTTTATTAGATGTTTGGTGCCAGGTAAGGACTTAATAAATAGCTTTTTGTTATTTACTTGTGAAACATCAGACGTCCTCGTACCATGCACCAAGTCCTGTTAATTCTGCTTCCAAGAGTCCGTCCATTTGTCTCGGTCTCCTTGAGGCCTTCATTCTCTGCCACTCCTGTCAGCCACAGTAGCCTTCTGTATCTGTCCTTGGTTCCCTCTAATTCATCTGCCACCCAGCACCAGAGTGACCTCTTTAAGATATAAATGCCTGTGTCAGTTTCCAACCTAAAACACTGCAGGGGTGTCCATTATAATACAAGCCACATAACTTGGTATGGTCTACAAGTCCCATAAGCACTGGCCCTTGCCCTCCACTTCTGTCTGTATTTATCATCAACCTGCAGCCACAAGGCCCGTGTTCCCTGCCACGTCTCTTCCCAGCCTCTGTCCTTAGTGAACATCCAGGGATCAGCTAAAAAGTTAGTTGTTTTGCAGTTGTCCTTGTCTTCAGACAAGTTAGTCCCAGATTCCTGTGTTTTTCATTTTCCTTGCAGAGCACTTACCATAATTGCCACAAAGTTGTTCATGTTACCATTTGTTTCAATTTTGTCTCCTCCCTTGGATTCAGAGAGTGAGGACTTCATCTCCTGGCCCAGCTGTGTCCTTGGCATCTTAAGTATAGAGTAGGCATGTAAATATTTGTAGAGATGAAGTTCAGAATGCTTATTAAGGTTTTTTCTGTCGATATCTGTTGACCCCACTTACATATTTGAATACATTGCTGTGTGCTGTATTTGTTTAACTATAAGTAATCATTTCCTTCTATTTTTTAGGAAAAGTACTTAGAAGCAATTAAAATATTTTCTGGTCCATTGAAAGGAATAGATCTAGGTATGTTCTTAACTTTGATTCATATTTAATATTTCTTTCTTATATTCACCCTGCTTTTCAAATTAGAATCCATTAAAACTTGCCTCATGTTGGCACATGCCTATAATCCCATCTACTCGTGAGGCCGAGACAGGTGGTTAACAAGTTCAAGGCCAGTCAAGGCAATTTAGGGAGACCCTGTGTCAAAGTAAAAAAATAAAAAGGGCTGGGGAATTTGCTCAGTGAATGAGGAAATTCTGATATACAGATGAGCTCTGTTCCAGGAGCACATTCCTAAGTTGGATTCACCTCGAGTCTGACAAAGCGAATCTTACATACCTTTGACACAGGTATACACTGTGAAGTATAAAACCGAATGCAGGGTCTGCTCCTGGCTGTGCAGGTTTGCACCTTGAATGTGTGTGAGTCAGAGACTTACTATGCGGTATTTGTTCCTTTCTATATTTTCTGCTTTTAGTGAATTCTGTACAGTGATCATGTCTCTTCATTTGACTGTAAATGTAAATGATAAAAATACAGTTTTGTTTTTTCCTTAGTATGTTAATCTGCTCAAAAATTCTGGTTTTAGTGGCAGATTTCCACTGAATTTCTGAAGTAGGGTAGTTGCTTGTGGTTGGTTATTGTGAAAGTGCATTTTCAGGTTTGTACTAATGCAGTCACTTTACTAACTTGTGCCTTTCCTATAGCCGTACGGCCCCACTCTGCACCAGAATACAAAGATGAGACCATGACAGTTCACCAGGTCCCACTATACAGTGAGTATGAAAGCCAGATTTCCTAGGAAGAGGAGGGTGTGGTCCTGAGTATGGAAAGTGTGAGTGACAGCAGAAACTGTTGGCATACTTGCTTTGGCTGCCCTGTGTAGTACGCTTTATATGTGTAGGAAATTTAACTGAAGTATTAAGATTTGGTTCCTGCCCTTAAAGAGCTTGTGGTCTTGTGAACAGATGTTCATACTCCTACATGATGATAGTGACCTTGCTTTGGAACATTACATAATCAGTTGCTGTCAGAAAATAGCCTGATTTCCTATTCATTGCTTGAGGGTTAAGGGTTTGTTTGTCACAAATGTAGTTACCTCTTTTGATAGGAGGATTCTGGAGGGGTTTGTTCGGATTGATAACTTTTAATAACCTAAGAGTGTTATCAGGGTCTGAGAAGCACCAATAAAGCTGGTCGGGGAGCAGGGTCTGGTCATGTTTTGACTTGGAGCAGAGACGCTCTGTTGGTCACTATGGTGCTTGCCTCTGGCCACATGCTTTGTGTGCAGTTTCCTCTATGTGGGAATAGTGTACCTAGTAGTAATAGTAGGGACATTTAGCGCCAATTAGTATGAGCTTCCCAAGTGCTGAAAGGCCACAAACAAAAACATAAAACCCAGAGAAATCCAAAGGAGGTAAGAAGGTAAAATTGCCACAGATAGTCTCCGCATGGTGGCTCACCATAATTAGTAAATCCCAGCACTTGGGAGGCCGAGACAGGAGGATCACTCTGCATTTGAGGCCAGCCTGGGCTCCTAGTGAGTTCAAGGCCAACCTGAAGTACATATCAAGACCCTGTCTCAAAAATTAAAAGAAAAAAAAGACTGCCACAGATAGAAGGGAGTGGAAAGAGTGGGGCTGAGCCACAGCACAAGTGCTTATAGACCAGGAGATGATGGTCTGAGCAGACCGCCTCACCTGGCGCACACCTGGCCAGATGTGTTATCTGATCCCCGCCCCAGTTGTCTCGCTCCTCTAGCCCATGTTCTTCCTCCACAGCACTTCACAGTTGATGTGTTTTGTGTGCCCACTGCTTAGCTGGCTTTGCTTTGCTGATCACTGAGTGCTTCTGTTGAGACCAGAGGCTGTGCTTAGACTCCTCCGAGCAGCCCCTTTTTTTGCTTGACTTCGTGACTGCACTGCCCAGTTACGGTCTTCTGCATGGAGACAGGTACCCTTTGGGCCTGTTTGTTTCCTGAAGGTGATGGTAATGAATGAACCAGCCTTCAGCCTGCGTACTTTTCCGTCAGCCAGCACTGTTGAATCCTTGCTGTGGGCATGGCTCTGGGCTAAGCAGAGACAAAAGATGAGCGAGACACACACTACAGTATGTATGAGACGCTGCTGTAGTAAAGGGTGTGCTGATCTGAGGGGTGTTCTGTGGTCCTGCGGTGTGACTGGCTGGCCTGTGGCTGTGAGCTCCCCTGTGTGGTATGTGATTTGACGGTTTTCTGTGCTACCCAGGTGAGCGGGGACCTGAGAAGCAGCAGCTGTCACAGAGCCCGGAAAGGTCCCCCCACAGGCGCAGCCCAGAGCGGCCTCTGGACTCTGGATCAGCCACAGATGAGCTGCACCATCTCGATGGCAGTGGTATAAACAAACCCCGCTGGAAAGGTACTTGCGTTTCTCTATGCTTTGCCCTTGCTTGAGATTAATTTATTTTTCATTGGTGTATACTGAAGGGATACAAAGAAATTTTCATCTATGTGGAAAGACTGAATTGAGCTAGTGAAGTTAGCTGTCATCTCAACAGTTTGTATTTCTGCTTTAAGGACTGCACACTGATCAGCATCTCCACTTTCCCCTTCACTCTCCCCTGCTCCCAGCTTTTGCTCACTCGGTCTTTTCTTTCTTTCT